GAGTAAATTTTCGTCTTTTAGGTAGAGCTGCTATACGTTGGGCCTTTCTCTAATAAGAAATCCGGCATTCGAATTTTGGTCGTATGAATATACAAAGTCGCAGAGGGTCAAAATCTGCGGAAGTTGAGCACGACATTCTTTGGAAAACTAAAATTAAAAACGATGTTATGTGTTCAGATGCTTATGGTACATCAGTACAAAGTGTTACTCATGAGGAATAGAATTTTGTCAAAAATATGAATATAGAAGACATACCTGCATGCTTCCATACTGCAGACAGGCCTCAATGACAAAAAGGGATTTATAGATATGTCGCCAATTTTTGCATTTATCATTTAGCCGCTTCCATATCATGGATGTAGTATCAGTATAGAGGGTTTGCGCCATTGTCATGTCTGCAATTTGAAGAAGAAGTTCCTGGCTAGGCATAGAGGAGTCGTTAGACGTAGCTTCCCTCACTAGGAGTTCAGCACGTGAATAATGGCCAACAGAGTTCTTGATTTTTCGTCGAACGGGCATCTTCAGAGGAACCACATGTACCCCGCTTCCAAAGTGAGCTAAGGTCTTGGGTCAAGCAATTTTGGCATTCCATTAATTTAAACAAAAAAGAAATACAAATATTTGCACAAAAACAAACACACCTTTTACTTTAAACCTAGTTAGTAACCTAGCTATTGCTAAAGGTTTAAGTCTCGATTAAGACTTGTTTAATCAGGATGCTTCGTGTAATTTCGTCTCATTAAGAAACGAAAATTGCACAAAACAATTCTGATAGTTTGCTACTGCAATACTCTAACCATTCGTTTTGATTACATAAAAGTGGAACAAAGGCAATGATATTGGTGACCCACAGAGCAGCTCAGTGGCCGCCAGTATCTTGAGAAGACATACCTCCCAGTCCAGCCCACAGTTACGCAGGACATCAAAGCCTTGCAGCCGCCAAGAGCAACCACGGTGGCGTCCAGAGTTTGTAAAATCATTCTGAGGAACTCGTGGACTGCGCATTGGCGGTTCACTAAGCAACGCTTCGAATGCGGCTCGACCGTAACAAGATGTCTCAGCAGAAGACGGGGATCCTAGCGTGAGCCAGCTCGGCTGCTCGCCCCCCGCCTGCAACGACAACACCGCGACCCCCCAACAGCCCTATCAGTGATCCCCCGTCTCGCAAGCAATAGCGTTTTATAGTTGTTATTTACAGCACAGAAAATAAAAGAAAGAAGAAGGATACAATCCAGCCTGGCAGGCCTATCACAGAAATGTTAAAGTCGGGAAAATAAGAGAGATCAGTGGAGAGCGGTCAGAGTTCGAGAGAGTTGCTGCGGAGAGGAGTGAGAAGTGCAGAAAGGGTGGACAGGCTCTCGGAGTGAGACAAACAGGAACCGGAACAACTGAAGGACGGCTGAAATCGGAGGTACGCCACCAGCCCCGGCGGCAGTCCCAAGTGATCCAGTGTGGTGTCGGCGTAGTACTGAAAAGGCATTAGTAAGAAATTGCCACTAACGCAGGATGTCTTCTGTGTTTTTATGCTACTAACAAGTAAAAAGCAGCAAGGTTATTTTGAGGGCACTAGTTCCTTGCCTGTCTAATCTTCTGTCTTGCAATTGCTTGCAGAGTAGGAGGAGGTTCAAGCTGATATACGAAAACCATCTCCTGCAGTTTTCGACGCCCTGGACTACTACTTCCAGTGTCTATCGAGGCGGATTTGCCGGTGAGATGCGTCTCTTCCTCATTCCATGCATTTGTCTCCCAGTCTCCCTCTATCCAGTTGGGGCAGAGCTAAAAGCGATTTGTCAGTGATTCCAAGAGCATGTCATTTGGTCCAGCATTATGGCCTATCCAGAATAATGGACAGCGAAAATAATCTCCTGGGCCCTATGAATTGACTCTACAAACTTTTTTAAGAGCTTTAAAATTGGAAATCATATTTACTCGATTACTTTCGCATATTTCAGAGGATAATTCAAGATGAAACAAGTTATGCAGTAATACTTCTTACATGGCTACTACTCGGCCGATTTTGTGCCGTACCCGCGGTCATAGTCGCCGATTCAGGGATATTAAGGGTATTTATTCGCCTCCTCCTTGGTGTTCCACTGTTGCCCTCCATCTCCACCAAACCTCTCCTGCCTCCCCTGTACCTCCTTTTCACTCCACTACTACCAACACCAACGGTTGCTAAAGCAATTAGCGCCAGTCGGGCGCCACATCTGCTCATTATGGGCATATAGTTGGTTGGACAGGTGTGCAGAGGACAGAGCGGGCGATCAAAGCGAATTACTCGAAGCGTATTCAAACTGTCACTGTGGAAGACGGTGAGGAAAAGTGGAGTATATCCTGGGGGTGGAGGAGGGAGCTGGGTTGTAAAGGCACCTACTTCCCCAACACCACCCTCCCCCGTGCTCCAGTGTCGCTTAAGTGGAAAAATTGAAAACACTTAGCAACCTAACGAAATCGTTATTTAAACATCCATTTAAGCAGTATTTTACTTGCTGAGACAGGTCTGGACTGTTTCCGAATCCCGATACGGCCTCACTAGAGCCGTGGCAGAAATTGTTGAAAAGCAAGGCTTGGGCCGATGATCCACATCTGCATGTCGACGCAGTTGTTACAACGGCGAAAATAAGATGGCCGGCAGGGGAGTAGAAGACTTGGAGAATGTTTATTTCACTGCCCAATCGCCTGTCGGGTCGTTGCTCTTGTAAAAGCGAATCTATAAAAGGACGGTAAATGGCCTTACTTAAATGTTACAAGTAAGATGCACTACACGATCATGAAAAGTGGCGGATAACTGAGTAGCTCAAATGATTACTCAAGTAATATTGGGAACAGTATCTCAGTTTAAGTCCTTTAAATAATGTTTCATTCCTTAAAAATAGGCAAAAAGCAGTTTTTGGCGGATTTTTAATCGGTGTACAGTACTCAGGTTTCCCCAACACTTTTTAACAGACTGGAAAAGTTTTCTTTATCACATTTTGGCAATTTTAGTCGGTATGCAGCATCTGGATTTCCAAATCAATTAAACTGTAGTACGGTAGTGGTTTATCCCTCGGTACTGGTGAGGCGCCACTTTTGTACTTTGAATCAGCCCCCTTTTACCTCGCTGGGTGGACTGGCCTTCTCTGCGCTTAGTACATATTCTGCCCGAGTATTTTGTCTTCCTTCGTCTTCACGGAGTCTCGGAACCCTACAAACAGTTTTTTTGCCACAAAATGCCCAGAAGTGCTTCAAAAGTGTGACGTTTCTCGGATGAGTCGTCGCATGGGCACTAATGCTGAATGAAGGTAGGAGCCTGCCATATTCATGGCCTTTTCCTAATTTAACATTTACATTGATCATCTAAAAAGTGTCTGTCAGAATACAACTTGTAAAGGTATGATTGGCTAGTTAAATTAACCTGCAGTTAATAGCTCGCGCAGAAGTAAGATAAAAGGAAGATACACAAAATTACGCCTGCTAGCTTCCACAGACTTAAAATGTTTATGTCACAATTTGCATTAACACTTGCCGTTAAGGGCTTGTGAAGTAAAAGTTTACGGCAACTCGCGATGGAAAGTGGACCATTACTGTCGCATATCGGTAAAAGCGAAATGTTACAATTTGCACTTATTACTACATAAAATGCAGCAGCCAACTATCCGTAAGGACGTATTTATGACTGCGTTCAATGTCCCCTGCGAGCCAAAGCTAAAAGTATCACCACGTTTTTTTTTCTCGGAGGTATAACTGCATTCCCCTTGGCAACTTATCAGACGATTTAATAATCGGACATTTTCGTGGCAAAATTTCAGTCCTTTTTTGCCATAACTAATCATCTTTTCCAAATATTCGTCAAGTTTTTGGGGCGGCGCCTTTTTAACCATCTGATGACCTTGTAAAACGTTGTTTTGCCGCGGTCGGTAAATCGGACGAATATGAAATCACCCACAAGACCCAGCAGCGATTTCCCTGAAGAGGAAAAGTTGAGGGGAGGCTCGCCCCGATAAAAAAGAATAAACAAACAATTAACTAAAACGCATTGCTGAGAGGAGTTCGGGAGCCTCCGGCTCTCCGGTCAGCATCGGCTGATACGGTCAAGTTTGCCGGTCACACCTCCTCCATCTGTTCGAGAAGGTTCTTGACAAATAGCAAATTTACCTAAATATGGAAAATCTTGAAATGATTTATTTTATTCTCCTCCATTTTTGTAGATAAACCCAACCTATGATGAAATACATGTCTGAAAAACTATTAATCATTCATTTATTCCACACTTCTTATTTCTGCTGTGAAGGATTATAGTTCTCTTTAAAAAAAGGTAAAACTTTACATTTTTAGTGCTGCCTCCTTTAAATGAAAGAAAAAGAAACGCCAAAAGCTTTTTACACAAAAACTCAGAATTTACTGCATTCTTTTTGCCCATTAAAAAGGTTCACTTTTGGCAATAACTGAGGCGACGAGTCAATAAAAAGTAGATCGCATTCAAGAGGATGAGGCCGAGAAAACGAAACACTAAAATGGACGCTTGGAATACTTCTTCTCCCCAATGTACTATGAACTTTTAAGCTATGGTGAGATTTTGTGAATTTTGAAAGGCGGAATCGGTTAGGTGAGGGGACCGCCAACGGGTGAGCCGATGTCCTTAAAGAAAGCACGCTTATACATTTGTCTGTCCATCTGCTACCTGTTTGTCCAAAATTCAAGCGATCCACAATCCGCTTTTGCGGCTGGCCACTTCCGCAGTTTGTGAAAGTGGACGATGAGTGGAGTGTGAGCGCTCGGCAAGAATTGGCGCACGGAACAGATCATCACTTAAAAGTCACCAAAATACAATCGAGAAACAAAAGCCCTTCGTCCAGCCTCAGACCACACTTTCCAAAAAACCCTTTCCAATGTAACTCATTCCAAAAGACACAGCACATGGAAGCATTCTATATTTGATTTAGAATTATTGTTCTGCATTTCGACTCCATTCTCTTCTACTCTCTAAATTCACGTCAAAACTTTTTAAACGATCCCACAGAAAAGAACTGACAGAAACATTAAATGAAAAGCGGAAGTCGTGGAAAAAAATTGAACTTGTTTTTTACCAATAAGTCTTTCATGTCAGCCATAAAACCGATCTCTATGATGGTGACACAAGACTAGTCTTCCAGCTCCCCTATTAACTCATAAATATTGGCTACCAGGAGTCTTGCATCCAACCCTTCAAATGTCCATCCAATCAACCTGCCTGACTGCATGTAGGTCTATCAGCTTGACAAGCTATATGTCAATCAACTAGACTACACACCCACCCTTGTTTAGGTCGTATGCTAGCTATTTTGTCCCCCTATGCACCTGTCAGTTTACTTATCTGCTTGTCTGTGTACTCCTCCAGCAATCACACAGAACTGATAAATTGGTCATCGGTCCACCCACTCACGTTTCTTAGTGAAATACCGCGCACTCACCAGGTAATCCACCGAAGTCTCGTGTCTTTGCGATTCTCTGCCATGAAGGAAGTCGTACAAGGGACAGACACGGTGCCTGCGCTTCGAAGAAGCCCTCACCCAGTGAAAATCGTCTATGGTAGTGTTGCAACGAAGAGTATCCCGAATTCCGTTGTGTTTGCACAAAATGCACGTTGGCGAGGAGGATTCGTGAATTTTCAAACCTCGGATCAAAGTCGAAGAGAATAGCACTGGGTCGATTGTAGCCGCCAAAAGCGCGAACAGGCTCCGGCGTCTCCTCGTTTCGATCTTGCAGATCCGTTTGAACGGACGCGGTGTCGTCCTCAAAACCGGTAAAGCTCAACGTAGTTGGTGTGGGAGTGTTGACGGGATTCAGCCGAAGTGTAGCAGTCGTCAAGGGCAGCTCGGTAATCAATTCGCGAGTTCTGAGGCTGTAGAGCTATAATTTAAGAAAATAAATCTAAGCAATTTGATCAAATCAATTTAAAGTGATCATTTCTCTTCGACAGTTGCTGTATAGTAGCACCTTTCAAACAGAAATAATGACGAAGTGTAGCTTTGTCCAGTCCGTATCTTAGATGCTTAACGCAGCGACCCACCCACGCTAGCCACTCACGAACGCTGCCCCCAATGAAAGCGTCTACACATTTACGGGAGAAGGTTACACAGCAAGTACGTTTAACCGAAGAATAGGTGGATTCGTGACTGTATTATCCAAAAGAGTTACGGAAAAAGAATCAAATCAAAACGTTGGGAAGGGAAGTAGCACCAACCGCTTTCCCGCTCACCGCAAGTGCCGCAGCATGTGATGAACAAAGACCGCGGTAGTACCGATCTCAAGTTTTTTCGCCGTTTAGCGCAGCTACCCAACAAAATACGGCGACTCTTCGTTCAATAGGTCGCCATCACAATATCGCTATGGCTTTTCCCTGATGTAAACATTTGTCAAATTAACGACCAGTTCGTGTATTTTGCGGATAATTTGTATTGAAAAAAGGGCAAGTGATATTTACAAGTTAGGCCAGTCTTTGTAAACAAGCTTGAAATATTTTCAATAAGTTAAGGATTAGCATTCACGCGTTATTTTTTGTCAATTCTTGTCGAAACACTGCCACGGTGTCAAAACGCCTTTTGTCTTCAATAGTTTGGGGTGGAATATTCTCTATTTAACCTGTTCGCAGGGGAAGAGCCTAACAAGGAATTCAACCACTACAGCCAAAATAGCTCACTTCTACTAGAGTAACTTCGGCTATTTTCAGAATTGGTTCATAACATCCAAAGGGCTAGTTAAAGTGAAAAAATTCCGAAGCTGTTTACCTATTCCAAATACCACCAATCTGCTTGCACCACACGATTAGGTGCAAACAGTTACCGTAAACTGATAAGGAACACATGACACAAATATGCAAAACCCGACCTAGGGAAGGCTATTCAGGAGTCACTCATGTGTAACTGCGGTAACAAATGTTATAAACGATATTGCAAGCTTTATAAACCCGGAAATAAGTCCCTAGGCTATTAAAAACATCCTTGGGGGGTGGGAACAATTTGTCTCATTATCCGCAAAAGTCACGAGACAAAAAGACAAGGTTTGATTTCACAATCGAGTATTAGACTAGTTTTAAGAGAGGTGAAATTTGGCCCAGGCTCCACGACTACACTAAACAGGAAGTACTGTGCCAGCGCTGCAAGATTTTCACCTATCGAAAGTTTGAAAAGGGGCATACAATTCCTAACCTTAATACTCTACTCCTTTTTAAAAACTTTCTTTTACTTAAACCGGAAAAGGAGTTAAAATTAAAATCATGTAGGTGGACAACGGGATGCATGTCATTGGTTGATTGGAAACCAATAGCAGAGTGAGGAAATGTGCTCCACCAATCAAATTCCTGAGATTTAGTCAGTTACTTAATTCACTGACTTAGGTAACAAATAAGTAATGTAGTAACCAAATGCTCACTTCTTAAGAACCTTATAAATATATAAAAACCTTACCGTTTTTGAATGCTCTCAGAGTCTCTTTAAGACTAGTTACAAAGAACGCATCAATTCATAAGGATTGATATTATTGGTCGATGAGTAGCCAATATCAGATCGATTAGAGGTTAAGCACCAATGAGAACGGAGCGATCTGCATGACCATGAAGCTCAAATTTACAGATCGCCAATTTCTTGACATCAATGTAAAAAAGGCAAACAGTTATGGGGCTATGAAAAAGTTAAGAAATTCGAGGATCTAACTGCAGAGTAATAATCCTTTTGTACTAACTTGGGCTATATAATTCCTGTTCTCCAAAACAAGTAAAAAAATCTGCTTCCCTCACTTAAACTGTCTGTTCTAACAGGCGATAACATTGATAAAAGTGGTACTGAAAGGGAAGAAAAACAAGATGTTTAGGAATTCTATGGAAAAAAAAGGTACCTAGAATGCATGTTCACTTTCGAGGGCTTATCTTGTCATTTCATTTAAGTGACAGCACTGGAGATGACAAGTGAAAAGGAGTAAAAGTGAAATGCAATGGGCGCTCCATCTAACTGCTTACAATGTCAAAATAAACCGCGTTGTTGTGCAGATTCATTACCAAGTGCGGTTAGTACTGAGGCGCGAAAAACTAGATTTCAATGCGGCTAGCTGAAGTGAGTAGGGAAAAGAAAGTGAAAGAGATGATACAAGATGGGAGGGAGAACGGTTTGAAAGAGAGGGAAGAGGAAAGAAGGGCAGTACTATCCCCCAAAAGGGAGGGAATGATACACGCTGGTGCCCCCATCTACATCTAATTTCGTCGAAGAAGCTGCATCACACCTTTGCAAGGCGCA